ATATTCATCAGTGATATTGGTCTTTAATTTTCTTTTTTTTGTAGTGTCTCTGTCTGGTTTGGGTATCAGGGTGATGGTGGCCTCATAGAATGAGTTTGGGAGTATTTTGGAAGAGTTTTAGAAGGATACATGTTAGCTCTTCTCTAAATGCTTGGTAGAATTCACCTGTGAAGCCATCTGGCCCTGGGCTTTTGTTTGTTGGAGGATTTTTTTTTTTTTTTTTTGTGGTACGTGGTCCTCTCACTGTTGTGGCCTCTCCCGTTGCGGAGCACAGGCTCCGGACACGCAGGCTCAGCGGCCATGGCTCATGGGCCCAGCCGCTCCGCGGCACGTGGGATCTTCCCAGACCGGGGCACGAACCTGCGTCCCCTGCACTGGCAGGCGGACTCTCAACCACTGCGCCACCAGGGAAGCCCTGTTGGAGGATTTTTAATCACAGTTTCAATTTCAGTGCTCCTGATTTAATGCTGTCTGTTCATATTTTGTATTTCTTCCTGATTCAGTCTTGGAAGGTTGTACTTTTCTAAGAATTTGTCCATTTCTTCCAGGTTGTCCATTCTACTGGCATATAGTTGCTTATAGTAGTCTCTCACAATCCTTTGTATTTCTGCAGTGTCAGTTGTTACTTCTCCTTTTTCATTTCTAATTATTTTGATTTGAGTCTTCTCTCTTTTTTTCCTGATGAGTCTGGCTAATGGTTTATCCATTTTGTTTATCTTCCAAAGAACCAGCTTTTAGTTTTATTAATCTTTGCTATTGTTTCCTTCATTTCTTTTTGATTTATTTCTGATCTGATTTATGATTTCTTTCTTTCTGCTAGCTTTGGGGTTTTTTTTTTGTTGTTCTTTCTCTAACTGCTTTAGGTGTAAGGTTATGTTGTTTATTTGAGATTTTTCTTGTTTCTTTTTCTTTCCTTTTTTTTTTTTTGGCTGTTTTTGGTCTTTGTTCCTGCACGTGGTCTTTCTGTAGTTGCAGCAAGCAGGGGCTACTCTTCATTGCAGTGCACGGGCTTCTCATGGCAGTGGCTTCTCTTGTTGTGGAGCATGGGCTGTATCTAGGCGCACGGGCTTCAGTAGTTGTGGCCCAAGGGCTTAGTAGTTGTGGCTTGCGTGGCACAGGGGCTTAGTTGCTCTGTGGCATGTGGGATCTTCCCGGACCAGGGATCAAACTCGTGTCCCCTGCATTGGCAGGTGGATTCTTAACCACTGTTTCACCAGGGAAGTCCCTCTTGTTTCTTGAGGTAGGATTGTATTGCTGTCAACTTCCCTCTTAGAACTGCTTTTGCTGCATCCCATAAGTTTTGCTTCATTGTGTTTTCATTGTCATTTGTTTCTAGGTAGTTTTTGATTTCCTGTTTGATTTCTTCAGTGATCTCTTGGTTATTTAGTAGCATGCTGTTTAACCTCCATGTGTTTGTATTTTTTACAGTCTTTTTCCCTGTAATTGATATCTAGTCTCATAGCGTTGTGGTCGGAAAAGATGCTTGATATGATTTCAATTTTCTTAAATTTACCAAGGCTTGATTTGTGACCCAAGGTGTGATCTATCCTGGAGAACGTTCCCTGTGCACTTGAGAAGAAAGTGTATTCTATTGTTTCTGGATGGAATGTCCTATAAACATCAATTAAGTCCATCTGATCTAATGTATCATTTAAAGCTTGTGTTTCCTTATTTATTTTCTGTTTAGATGATCTGTCTATTGGTATAAGTGAGGTGTTAAAGTCCCCTGCTATTATTGTGTTACTATTGATTTCCACTTTTATGGCTCTTAGCATTTGCCTTATGTATTGAGGTGCTCCTATGTTGGGTGCATAAAGATTTACAATTGTTATATCTTCTTCTTGGATTGATCCCTTGATCATTATGTAGTGTCCTTCCTTGTCTCTTGTAATAATGTTTATTTTAAAGTCTATTTTGTCTGATATGAGTATTGCTACTCCAGCTTTCTTTTGATTTCCATTTGCATGGAACATCTTTTTCCATCCCCTCACTTTCAGTCTGTATGTGTCCCTTGGTCTGAAGTGGGTCTTTTGTAGACAGCGTATAAATGGGTCTTGTTTTTGTATCCATTCAGCCAGTGTATGTCTTTTGGTGGGGGCATTTAATCCATTTACATTTAAGGTAGTTATTGCTATGTATGTTCCTATTATCATTTTCTTAATTGTTTTGGGTTTGTTATTGTACGTCTTTTCCTTCTCTTGTGTTTCCTGCCTAGAGAAGTTCCTTTAGCATTTGTTGTAGAGCTGGTTTGGTGGTGCTTAGTTTTCTTAACTTTTGCTTGTCTGTAAATGTTTTAATTTCTCCTTCAAATCTGAATGAGATCCTTGCTGGGTAGAGTAATCTTGGTTGTAGTTTCTTCCCTTTCATCATTTTAAATATGTCCTGCCACTCCCTTCTGGCTTGCAGAGTTTCTGCTAAAAGATCAGCTGTTAACCTCATGTGGATTCCCTTGTATGTTATTTGTTGCTTTTCCCTTGCTGCTTTTAATATTTTTTCTTTGTATTTAATTTTTGACAGTTTGATTAATATGTGTCTTGGCGTGTTTCTCCTTGGGTTTATCCTGTAAGGGACTCTCTGCGCTTCCTGGATTTGATTGACTATTTCCTTTCCCATGTTGTGGAAGTTTTCGACTGTAATCTCTTCAAGTATTTTCTTAGACCCTTTCTTTCTCCTTCTTGGACCCCTATACTTCAAATGTTGGTGTGTTTAATGTTGTCCCTGAGGTCTCTGAGACTGTCCTCAGTTCTTTTCATTCTTTTTTCTTTATTCTGCTCTGCATTAGTTATTTCCACTATTTTATCTTCCAGGTCACTCATCCGTTCTTCTGTCTCAGTTATTCTGCTATTGATTCCTTCTAGAGTATTTTTAAATTCTATTACTGTGTTGTTCATCACTGTTTGTTTGCTCTTTAGCTCTAGCTCCTTGTTAAACGTTTCTTGTGTTTTCTCTATTCTATTTCCAAGACTTTGGATCATCTTTACTATCGTTACTCTGAATTCTTTTTCAGGTAGACTGCCTGTCTCCTCTTCATTTGTTAGGTCTGATGGGTTTTTACCTTGCTCCTCATCTGATGCATATTTCTCTGTCTTCTCATTTTGTTTAACTTACTGTGTTTGGGGTCTCCTTTATGCAGGCTGCAGGATCGTAGTTCCTTTTACTTCTGTTGTCTGCCCCCAGTGGGTGAGGTTGGTCCAGTGGCTTGTGTAGGCTTCCTGGTGGGGGTGACTGGTGCTTGTGTTCTGGTGGGTGGGGCTGTATCTTGCCCCTCTGATGGGCAGTGCTGCATCTGGTGGTGTGTTTTGGGGTGTCTGTGAACTTAGTATGACGTTAGGCAGCCTGACTGCTAGTGGGTGGGGTTGTGTTCCTGTCTTGCCAGTTGTTTGGCATGAGGCGTCCAGCATTGGAGCTTGCTGGCCCTTGGGTGGAGTCGGGTCATAGTGTTGGGGTGGAGACCTCTGGGAGAGCTCTCACCGATTAATATTCCATGGGGCTGGGAGTTCTCTGGTGGTCCAACATCCTGGAGTCAGCTCTCCCACCTTGGAGGCTCATTCCTGGGACTAGATTTCTGAACCTTCTAGACTGCAGAATAATGGGGCCTGTCTGGATAGTGCTTGAAGAACGTGGCCAAGACCAGCGGTCAGGAGTCGGTCCCACACAGGCTTCCAGAGAGCGTGTCTTTTGCTGCACGGCTGTTCTCGAGGCTGCTTGGCTTTGACCTTGGGTGGCACTGGGCCTGTGCACTAGCCTGGAAGTGGGAGACCCAACCGGGGCCTCTCCCTCATCCTTCCAAGGTACCTCAGGTTCTTCCACGTGGCCCTGCCCCTCCGCACCCTGAAGATGTCACCTGCAGACTGTGTCCCATTGCAGCCTTTTTCATGAGTTCTTACCTCTTCAGTCTTAGCAGTCTTGGGAAAGAAGTTCTGTCTCTCTTGCAGGATTGGAGGCAATTTTTTTACAGCTCAGTTCTTTTGGAATTAATCCCTTAACACTGATTTTTCTTCCCTCAAGGAGGGGAGGGGGGGCGTCGGGTGTGCATTCACCCTTGCAGGCAGCTGCCAAAGTGGTCCACATGCAGGGCAGCCCCAGTGCTCCTGGGTTGTCTCTCTGTTTTGCACTTTACCCCAGACTGTCAAAACGTCACTGTCCTGTGTCCCAGCTCCACCAGTACCTCCTTTCCTACTGCTAAGTCAATACATAGTATCTTGGCTTAGAAAGAGGTGCTTTTGTGGTTGACTGTGGTGGCTCAAGGCAAGGGGCTGGAGAATGTGTTCCCGCTCTGCCGTTCTAGCAGAGTGTGACTGTGACCAAGGCATTTTGCTTCTTTGAGCCTCTGATCCTGCATCTTGAAATGGGAACATCTTCCTACCTTGACATGGTATCTGTGACAGTATCAAGGTAGCTGAACACGTATAAGCAAGACTCCAGGGCATGGAGAAGGAACGATGAGGCATGGGAGATAAGACAAACACCCATCTCATGGGGGAAGACTGAGGTCCCAAGGTGGAGACCTGCCTGTGAAATGGGGCCCAGAAGAATTGAGAAGTCCTATTCCTCTCAGCCTTCTTCATTCCCACTCCCAGGGTAGTTCCCATACTCCTCCTTGGCCTGGAAGAGCATTCAGGGCTGGCGCCCAGCTGAGGGGTGGGAGCAGGGCACCTTAGGATGACCACAGAGGCAGGCTGGGGTTCAAGTGGAGTGCTTAGTGGTGCTGATAGGGAGACTGCACGAGATCTGGGACACCACGGGCGATCCACCCATGGGCAACTGAGCGTGGATGCCAGGCATTGATGAACCACTCTTAGGTTGGTCCAGCCCTCAGTCTGGGCACAGTTCCCATTCATTCACTCATTCATTCATCCAGCCATTTATGGAGCATCTGCTGTGTGCCAGGCAAGGCACTGGATTCTGGGGCAGCTGGTGTCGGGACGGGCTGGACCCCTGTCCTCTGAGTCCAACCCAGCCTTGCAGCCTGGCCTAGCCCCAGTGTCTGTGCCTTGCAGACACTCATCAGCGCCATGGGGCAGACAGCCTGCACCGTGGCCTCCGTGCTCGTCCTGCTCTTCGTCCTGATGTACGTCTTCGCTGTCCTGGGCTTCTGCCTATTTGGAGTTCCAGAGAGTGCTGACCTGAATAACTGGGGGAACCTGGCTCTGGCCTTCTTTACCCTCTTCAGCTTGGCCACGGTACCGTGTTTGGGAGCCGCGGTAGGGGCAGGGGACTTGAGAAGGGACTGGCAGCTGGTGTGGGCGTGTGGACATGCTGGGCCTCACTTGGGGGCCTTTTCCATGTTCAGACACTTAGCTGGTCTGGGGAAGCTGGGGGCTGGCCTCCTAGGACTAAGGATAGGCCAGTGCCCTGGCCACAAGATTATCTCTAATCTTGTGACTCCCTAGAGCATTCTTATTTGTCCCACAGGGGTGTAAAACTTTCAAAAAGTTTTCAAAAGACAATTCATTCAGATTAAGTTGAATTTAGAAGGGAAACCCATGTCACAGAGCCTTTTTGGGAACAGGCTGTCACAAAGCCACCCAGGAGAAGCCTGCAAAGCCCAAGTCTCAGAGTCTAGATTCTGCTGGACTCTGGAAGGATTGGGGTCTCTCCAAAGGAGGGCCTGGTAGAGAGGCATTGTCTTTTGGGGAGGGATGGAAGGCCTTTTGGAGGAGAGCCCTTAGGGCACCTTGATCAGCAGCGCCCCCACCCAGTGGTGCCGTGCAGCTCCAGGCCAGCACGTGTGCCCTGGAGTCAGAGCATTAGGGGCGGTCGCAGGGCTGATGTGGAAGGAAGCTGGCCTGCTCCTCGGTGGGGCTGGGGCTCCCCACGGTGGGTGAGAGGAGGCCTGCCGCTCTGGGCCTAGGCGCTCAGCACACCCTGCCTTGCCTGAGCAGGTCGATGGCTGGACAGACCTGCAGCAGCAGCTGGACGCCCGGAATTTTACTCTGAGCCGTTCATTCACCATCATCTTCATCTTGCTTGCCTCCTTCGTCTTCCTCAGCATGTTCGTGGGTGTGATGATCATTCACACGGAGGTGAGGTGGTGCTTGTAAGGATGGGGGAGTGGTAAGTGTGGCAGGCGGATGGGCCAAGTCTCAAGGGAGGACACTGAGCGATCCCCCTCCTGAAGTGGGGGGGTGGTGACCAGGCTCTACCGCAGCCTGACTCTTTTCCCTGAGCCCTGCATTTTCCCTCCCTCAGGATGGTGGCCTGCAGGGTAGGTGCTTAGGAAGTCACTGCAGCTACAGTTGGCAGCTTGAGCTGGGGGCTGGCCTGTGAGGGGATCCTCCTGCTGAGGGGCTGGAGCAGCAGTGGGAGACTGGGGAAGAAGGAAGACGGGAGTGGTGCGCACTGAGAGCCCATATCTCACCTCCATCCTCCCACCCTCTAGGACTCTGTCAAAAAGTTTGAGCGGGAGCTGATGCTAGAGAGACACATGACACTCATGGAAGAAAAGCATGTGATTTTGAAGGGGCAGCAGGAGGAGGTCAGCAAGCTGATGCAGACGCAGGTAGGTGGTCTCCACGGGCCGGCGGACAAGCAGAGGGACAGTCAGGGCTGAAGGAATGGCCAGGAAGATGGGCCTGGGGGCCTGCGTGGAGGGCGGGTGGCCTTAGGCATCTGTGGCATTTGGTAAGTCAGCTACTCACCCCCCCTGTACTTTTCAGAGTCAGACGTTATTCTCTGTATTTTTATGTTTCTCTGGACCTCTTCAAGTGTTGAGTGTTGCGATTATCGTATTTCCCTCCTTCATGGGCAAAACTCCATTGCTGGGCCCTTTGCCTGGAGCACTCTTGTTCCTGAGGACTCGCTGGGTGCCAAGCAGGCTTCGTCCCCGTCCGCTGAGTGGGCGAGGCCACGGAGGCCGCGACAGGTGTTACTAACCTCAGTGTTTCTAAACTGGAACAAGAGTGAGCACAGTGGGCTGGAGATTTTCTCTCAAGCATGATACAACTGTGAGGGGCTAGAGGAGCGTCCTCTCTTTTCGGCCGAATGCTCTGAGCTGCCGGGGTGCTCGGCCGGGTCGTGAACAGCATGCTGCCCCTTTCTCCGCCAAGTGGCTGGTGCCTTCCTCCTCAGCCTCCTCTCTGAGGTGGAGATGCCCGCCTGTCTCGGTGTGCCCAAGGTTTGTCCAGAACAGGGTGAAATGCTGAGCCACGCTCAGGCTCTCACCGATTCCTTCCCGTGTCACCTGTCCTCACGTCAGGGATGGTGGCTCACCAGGTGACCTCAGTCAGGGGGGTGCAGGCCCAGAAGGGGTTGGGGTGAACTGTGATTGGACTCAGGACTCATCCTGGGGCCAGGGTCAGGCCTCTGCCTGGGCCCCACGTGGAGGGTCCCCAGGTCTCTCTGCAGCCCGGTCACTACCTCCTCATCCTTGCTCTCTTTATGCTTCCCTCTCTAGAAGAATGTTGACCACAAAAGTTTCACTGAGCTGGTGGAGAAGTTTAAGAAGACCCTGCGGCACACTGACCCCATGGTCTTGGGTGATTTTGGCACTAGCCTACCCTTCATTGATGTCTACTTGTCCACTCTGGACAACCAGGATGCTACCATCTACAAGTCAGTCCCAGCTCCGCTGACCTGGCCCCAGGCCCAGGGGGGCAATGGCTGATGTGCAGGGCGGGTCGGGCGAGGCCCTTCCTGGCGGTGTGCAGGGGCTGGGCTGCTGTGCGGACGGGCCTGTGGCTGGGGGAGACTCCACCCACTGGCCTCCCCAGCACACCCTGACCTGTTTTTAAATACTGGCTCCTCTGACTCTCCAAGACCCTCCTCACCAAGCACTTTTCAGAGGGCCGAGAGAACGCTGCTGGCTGGCAAGTCAGAAGCTGAAGCCCCTGGCTTGGTGCTGTGTGACTTTGGCAAAGTCTTTGTCCCTTTCCTACCCGGCACAGGAGGGGCTGACTATGGAAGCAATGTGTGTGAAGCTCTGAGCTTGGCCTGGCCCAGGGCTATGCTCAGTGTGAGTTAGCTGGGGTCCTTCTGGCCATTACTTGCAGGAAGGGGAGGTGCACGATTAGCCTGGTTTCTCAACAAAAGCTGCCTTGAGGGCTTCGCAGACAGGAGGAACTAAAAGGAGGGGATCTAGGGGTGACCAGTGTTGGCCCAGGCGTGGACCAGGCAGCGTCTGGGCACCTCCACGGGCTCACCTCGCTCCGAGCCCAGGAGTCTGTTGCCTCCCACCTGACACATGCGGTGGAACGACTTTACTCCTGGGCCACAGGTAGAGGGGCACAGCCGGGCTCCCAGCCCAGCCCTATGTGGCTCTGAAGTCCTCGCTCTTCCGTGACCCCACACCTACCAGGAGTGGTGAACGTGCGGGTGCGAGAGTGCCGTGGGCAGGGCCAGGGCGGCATGGAGCCCGCTCGTGAGCTCAGGCCTCCTCTCCTCCTCCATTTCCAGGCTTCAGGAGCTGTACTACGAGATCGTGCACGTGCTGAGCCTGATGCTTGAAGACTTGCCCCAGAGGAAGCAGTCCCAGTCCTTGGAGAAGGTCGAGGAGAAGTAGTGGGTGTGGGCACCCAGGCACCGAGGGCCTCCCAGGCTGTGACACCCTGTCCCGCCAACTAAACACAGGTTTTCTGAGTTGGCCTCTTCACGGTTGCTGTGATCATGGCATTTCTCCACCTTTGGGAATTGGGCCTGAGTAGATGCCCATGAAGTCTGATTCCTCCCTCACATGACACAGCCAGACCTTGGGAGTAGGGAGTGGGGAGAGGGAGGCTCAAGGCCCCCCCTGACCAGAAGACACACCTAGGGTCCACACTGGCTCTCTCCTCCTTTGACCCCAGCATCAAGGACCCACCGGGTTCCTGGGAAAGCCACCTGAGGACCCCGGACCGAGAAGGGCTTCCAGCCGCCCCATAAGAGTGCGTGGCTCCTTTGAGCTGGTGTGGCCCTACTGATCCTGGAAGCTCTGCTGCCCTCATCTTTGTGTGTGTGCCCACACCTGGCAGAGCTACAGCTCTCTCTGTGCACCCAGAGCCCTGGAGGCCCCTCTTTGGGGTTCTACTCTGCTTCTCCCAGGCTCACAGTGATGGTGGTGCCCCAGGGGTGCAGCCGTGACTGGAAGGATACTGTTGTGTGGCGTGCAGTTCAGGGGGGCACCTCATGCAGGGGCCAGAGGAGTGGCAGTATCGGGCGCTTTGGGCTGCTCCCTCCCCTTTAGTTAGAACTCTTTACTCGAAAGGTGGCATTTTTCTGTGTCGTCCCTGGCCACATGACTGCCACAGCTGGCAAGGTCCTGGCGCCATCCCGGCCCAGCCACCACGGAGCCATCTGAAGGCCCAGGTGGGGCAGGGTGGCTGGTACCCCTTGCTCCCGACTGGCCAGACCAGAGGCCCGGCAGTGCCCCCTCTGCTCCCATTTCTGGGGAGTGTTCTTGAGGCCTGTCACCTTGGCGGTGCCCTATTCTTAGAGGAGACATGAGTTCTGGGTTGAGCTGTGGGTGGGAAGCCAGCATCTGTAGCTGGGTGCCCAGGCCCACCCTGGGGAGTCAGGTCAGTAGAAAACATGTAGAATTGAGAATGGCTGGACAAGGGTCCCATGGGGGTCCCGTGGGCTCCAGGCCTGGATGACGGCACCCCTGAAGCCAGAGGACAAGGGCTGGTGGAAGCCTTTACTCGTGGTTTCATTCACCCGACTACTATTTCCTGAGCTGTGCAGGGTGCTGGGGGTTCTGTGACGAGAAAGCCACAGTCTCGTCCTGGCCCTCTTGGTGCCCACGGTTATCTAGGGGAGACAGTCATCCGGCCAGAACGGATGAGAGAAAATTTCCCTGAGGAAGTGACAATAATTGTGTGAATGCAGAGAGCATGTGTCTTCTAAGATACTCAGATCATTTCCATTTGCAAATGATCGCACTCAGGACCGAACTGAGAACTGTGTGAAACGGTGCCAAGAAGGATCGCTCTGGAGCGTGAGACCCATCGCCGTGCAGTGGGGGAGCCCTGTGAGGGCAGGGCGTCTGGCCTCGCTCCTTCCTCGGGTGGAGAGAACTTCATGCCAGTGCCCTGGGAGGTGGCCCTGAAGTAAGCGGGGTGTGCACCCAGTACCTAACTGTGAAGGGGGCGACTCTTGGCTGGGGGCTTCCGGGGGGGCTCTGGTGGGTGCAGCCCAGTCAGCCCAGGATGCAGGCCTCAGGCAGTGGCTCCGATTCAGGACTGGGATAAAGCAGACGTTGCCAACTGCCCACACTGGATGTGCCAGTGTTGCATGGGGGAATGCGGAAACATCTCCGCCTGCTGTCACTAGGAATCGTGGGAGTTGCCCTAGGCCTCTGGGAGTGAACAAAAGATTTAAAAACTTCTGCAGGGAGGCAAGTTAGTGAGTACCATGGTTTTAGAGTCAGGAAACTTGGATTCCTTAATCAGGCGACCTCGGGCAAGGTGTCTGGTCTTTTGAAACCTCAGCTATTTCGTCTGAGAAATGGGCTGATAAAACTGATAAAACTGTTCAGCTATAAAGATCAAATAAAATACATGTGACAGTGTAAAAAAAAAAAAAGAGACACAGTCAACTATGGTTCGTGCTTCCTGGCTGTCAGCTCTGCCTCTGCTGTGAGGCCAGCTGCCGTGGGCTTTCCTGATCAGGGGCTGAGAGGGACTGGGCCAATGACGAGGTGGCTGGGGCGGGGGGGTGGGAGTGGTGAAAGCGTGGAGCTGAGAGCAGGAAGCAGAGATCAGGAACCTGGGGCTGGGTAGGGGGGAATGCGTGTCCAGGTGGAGCTGGTATGGGATGGCCGGTTGCACCTGCAGGGCCCGGTCCCAGCAGGGAAGCCCAGGCACGGGCTGTGGGGCTGTGGTGTGGGAGGGCAAGCTTCCTTTAAGGGCACAAGCAGAAGGCTTTCACAGAGCAGGGAGCTGGGAGAGGGTGATGTGCAGACGGCTGGCTCAGCACTGCTGGCAGAACAAGCCACTGGATATTTGGTGTAAAGTCCCAGAGCAGCATTCCTGTTTGGCTCTCTTTGCCTGCAGAGCAAACACTGGCAGATTGGAATTCCCACTTGGGCTCTCACCAACTCAAACAGGCTTGGCCAAGGCTTTCAATTGATTTGCTTGGGGCAGAAGTGGCTCTGCTTGCCCAGGCCTGGCTGTGGAAAGCAGGACCCTCCTCCTCCTTCCCCCAGCGTCGGGATCCAGCAGAGCTGTCCCCAAATGGCTCGCCCACCTCCATCCTGCCAGCTGGGTGGTTTGGGGCTGCAGTGGGATACCCGGGACCTGGGTCTGAGTCTTCTGGTCACACCCAGGCCCTCCCCCAGCTCTTGTAAGAAGGATATGGAATCCAAGTCTAGAGGTGTTTGGAAGGTGGCTGGATTTTGGGTTTTTTTTTAAACTGCTTGTTGATTCCACCAGCAGGAAGCAGTCTCTATAATATGGAAATCCAGGCAGGACTGAGACTATAAGTGCTCCTCTTCAGTCCAACAGCCCCTAAAAATCCAATACTGAGACGCTGGAAACTGCACATCTTGATGTTTTCCCCAAATGTGGGTGAGACAGGACACCTTGTACAATGAACCGCCCTTCCCCAGGTCAGGAGGAGACGGCTCTGAATTCCTAACTAGGCTACTCAGAAAGGAGAGGTAATTGTTGCTGATTCTAGTCACAGGGGTTGGGAAATTAGGAGAAAGGAGCTCAGTGTGATGGGGTGAGAGTTACCAACACACGAGCATCCTACTCTTCCCCACACCCTGCACCAAGAATTTCGTCTGTGCTTGGTCCGCCACATGCCGCACCTTCCTCGAGTTCTAGCTCTGATTTCACTTAAGGCTTGGTGTGATGCAGCCCTGGGGGGATGGGGGAGGCAGGGCTGGAGAGCTGAAGGAAAGGGGAGCATCTGTGCTTTCTCGGTTGGCTCCTGGCTTCTCCTTCACTGTGGAGAAGCAGGGTAATGGGCAAGGCTCATCGGACCTACACGATAGGAGCCGGAACATGGAGGAGGAAGGAAGTAAAAGCCAAGGCTGGGAGTCAGAGACTTTGGACAGAGGCTCCAACCCAGCTGGAGGGTGAGAATGGAAAGGGGACAAATGGAGACAGCAAGTATCCTTGTAGGGTGACAGCTGGATCCCCACTGATGTTCCTTGAGAGAGGCAAATAATGATGGAAATTATTTAGGGATGATTTTTGGTTGCTGAACTGTGTCTTTTATTTATTTGTTTTTATTTTTAAAAATTAATTAATTTATTTATTTTTGGCTGCGTTGGGTCTTTGTTGCTGCGCAAGGGCTCTCTCTAGTTGCGGCGAGCGGAGGCTAATCTTCATTGTGGTGCACGGGCTTCTCATTGCAGTGGCTCCTCTTGTTGCGGAGCACAGGCTCTAGGCATGCAGGCTTCAGTTGTTGTGGCACACGGGCTCAGTAGTTGTGGTGCACGGGCTTAGTTGCTCCGCGGCATGTGGGATCTTCCCAGACCAGGGCTCGAACCCATATCCCCTGCATTGGCAGACGGATTCTTAACCACTGCGCCACCAGGGAAGCCCTGAACTGTGTCTTTTAAAAATGGAGCCCTATGAAGAGATTCAACCACTTGGGGTCTGCATGATGTTTGGGTGACGTAAAGGGGGCGGTGTGTAATAAGGACCTCTTAGGCTAAAATTGGGATATGTTTAGAGGGCTTTACGAACCACTGACTGAGCTCCCAGCTGTGATCTGAGGCCTCTAGGTGAAGTACCCCTGAGGGTGGTGGCACCAAATGTGACTGGCATTTTGCAAAATGAAACTGAGGTCTCAGAAGGAAGGGTGGCAGAGGCCATAGGGGGATGAAGAGTCTGCTCTAAAACTCTGAGGAAACTGGAGGTTGACCCCAACTTTTGTAAACTGGTGATGGGGCAATGACCTTTCACAGCAGAGGCACCCCACTGCCCAGAGCTCAGTGTCCTGAGAGCACAGCTGCCCCTTGACTCCCTTCTTCCCCACTGGGGCCTTGATGCCTGGGATTGGGGCATGAGATGAAAAGACTCTTCAAAACATGCTGCTGGGCCAGCGAAGGAGGAGTCCAAGCAGAGGTCAGGCCGAGGCTCCAAAGGTATGGCCTGTTCTCTTTGGCTGTGGAAAATACCACCTTCTGTTTTATCGGTAGTTCTGTTTAAGACACTTTGACATACATGATTTGAATCTCATAACAACACTTAGGTACTTTCATTATCCCCATTTAACAGGTGGCAAAACTGAGGTTCAAAGAGGCAATTAACCTACCCAAGGCTGTATAACTAAGGGGGAAGAACCAAGCGTGTCTGGCTCTAACTGCTGCTATAATATGGTGCAACGTCCTCTAGGGAATTGTTATCCTCATCTTATAGGTGGGCAAGCGGCGCTCAGAGAGACTGTTACTTGGCAAGATCATCACTGGGGGGCAGAGTTAGTATCTGAACGCAGACCACACATGTACCCCTCTGCTCTACTGTCTCACAGCAGCCTTGTTTTTTCTTATCAAAGCTATTTTTTGAACCTTAAGAATCAAGCCCTAATTCCCTCCTGAGCAGGGCCTGCCTCTGGGAGGAGGGAAGGTGGTCTCTCAGACGGGTCTCATTTAGCCAGTTTCCTGGCACCTTCTTGCTGCCTGGTGGAAGCTCTGAAGTCTGCTGGTCCAGCGGCTCCTGGCTCGGGAGCCCTGGGAGCTCCAGAGATGGAAAGGGCAGCAGGAAGCAATCAGTGTGTGGCACCTAATCAGGAAATTATAGCTTGGGCAGAAGAGGGGTTTGGCTTAGAAGTCACCCTTCCCTGGGTTTCAGTCAAGCAGGCCCACAGGCAGGCTTGGCCGGCCGATGGGATGTGCTGAGCAGGCGTGAGCTCAGCAGGCAGGATAAGCCAGCCTCGTCATTGCTGCCCAGGAGGCTGGCTTCCTAGGTGGGGATGATGTATTCCAACCTTTCTGGCCCCCTGCCTGCTCCTGTACCCACTGATACCTCATCAGCAAGGGGAGAAGCTGTGGGCATCAGAGGGGGTACTTTGGGAGGTTCTTGACCTGAGTCGGTGACTTTTTACCTGATTCTTGAATAAGCAAGTGGAAAAGGTGTGAAAGAAGTGTCAGGTGGAAAAAGCCAGGTGCAGAACTGTACATACGTGACACCATTTGTATTTAAAAAAAAAGAAAGTGAGAAATAAATAAAACTACACACACAGTGGCAGTGAGATACTCTTTCAGGTGGCAAGGATGATAGACGAAACCTAGTATTGGCCAGGGCATGGAGGTGGCACCCCCGTTCACTTTGGCAGTGCAGATAGGTGTGGCTCTTTCAGAAGGCAATGTGGTTTAGATTTTATGCGTGTGTTCCTATGGCCCAACAGTTCTGCTTATGAAATTATCCTGAAGAGCCAAATGACAAATGCACGGAGATGCAGGGATAAGGATGTTTACTGTGGCCTGTTGTGATAGAAACACAGCAAAAGAAATCAAGGAATTACTTAATGCCCATTGGTGAGCCGACTGGTTGAATTAGTATGAGTCCATACATGTGGCCCCTAAAATAGTGATTTGTTGATAAGAGTAGGTGTTCTTGATATTATGTGATTGAAAAAGTGGCTTCTGAAGCAGCATGTGATCTGCCGTCCTTTGTGTAACACCGAGTGAGTGAGTGTATGTAGCCTATGTGTACATGCACGTGTGTGTGCTGAGCGATGTCTGGAAGGATCATCATATTAGTAGTGGTTTGGTGGTCTTGACTTTGTCCTCACACTTTTCTGAACTTTTTGAATTTTAAGAATCAGTATGAATTTTACAATCAGGAGAAACAATACAATTTTCATCTTGAAAAAAATGCTGGGAATTCCCTGGCGGGTCAGTGGTTAGAACTCCGCGCTTTCACTACCGGGGCCCGCATTCGATCCCTGGTCGGGAACTAAGATCCTGCATGCTACACGGTGTAGCCAAAAAAAAAAAAAAAAAAAAAAAAGTTAAGCAGTGTGCGTGGGTGTGTGTGCGTGGGTGTGCATGCATGTGCATGCACAGCTGTGCCTGTGGTAGGTGGAAGGGCATTCCAGGCAGAAGGAACCACAGGCACAAAAGAAAGAGGGTGGGAGCTGCGAAGCTGGTGTGGCCACAGCCTGCAGTATGGGCTAGGTGGTGGGGAGATTGGGGAAGTACATTGAGTATGATCCTGAGTACCGCAGCTTGGCAATTTGGAAGCAGGGCAGTGACCTGGCCAGATTTGATTCTTGCTTCCTCTCTGAGAATGACCTGCTCCCCCTCACCTGGCATTTAAGACTTCTCTATTCTGTCTCCCCCTTCCTCTCCCCATAGCTTCCAGGGCTCCCCTTTGCCCAGCTCATTCTCACCTCCACTCCTGCGTACCCATTCCCATCTGCCTGTCCTTCAAGACTCAGCATTAGGCCCCCTCTAACAGGAAGCCTTCCCAGATTGCTCCGGTTAGCCTTGATATCTCCTTTTTCATACTCTCACCCTTGAACTTTCATAACTGACCTTAAATCAGACCATAATTCCTCAAGAACCAGGACGAGGGCCGTGAACTGAGAGGTTATGCTGTAATACCTGGATGCCAGTGACGGATAGACTGACATCTGCCAGCATTAGAGTCCTGATGGGGGAGGGAGAAAGCAGGCAGCAGAGGCCCAGGAGTTATTTTGAGCCTATCATGTCACAGGCACAGTGCCAAACACTGCACATAGCTTTTCACATTTATCCCCATTGTACAGATGAGGAAACTGAGGCTTAGAGAGGTTATGTGGCAGTAAGTGGTACGGCTCTGAGTAGAACCCAGGCTCTGTCTAACTCTAGAGCCCACACTCTTAACCTCTGTGACGTACTTGTCTCTGGTTCTCATCCCCCCAGAGGTTGGCAGGGCTGGGCCTGTCGTGGGGCCTTCTTGTGCCTTGCTGCCCCAGACCCAGTGGAGATGGATTTCAGGGTGGGAGGGTGATGCCATCTCACTCAAGTGGTAGCTCCTGACCCAGTGGAGGATCTGGGGCAGTGCAACATCCCTGCTGAGGCCTTGGGAGTGCCACTGTCCCCAGTGACATAAAGTGAGATATTTCCCTGTGGGCCAGCTGGCAGGAGCATTGTGGGGGAATCTGGAGGGGAGGAGGCTGGGCATGTTGACCAAGGAAGAGCTTTCCCACTCAGAGATTCTCCAGTAGCAGGAGGTCAGTGAGATGATAAAGGACAATTTTGTGCCTCTGAAGCAACAGCACACCTGAAAGCCTTACATACTGTTTGCGTCCATGGTCTCTTCAAACCCTGACAGCAAACCCCAAGAGGCAAGCAGGCAGACCCAGTGCCCACTGACAGAAGAGGAAACTCGGGCTCCGGGAAGGGACAGCCAGGCCCCGGGGAGGAGCCCAGCCCAGGGGCTAGAATCCAGAGGAGGCCTGGCCTCTCCCGGGCACCTCCCCCAGCCAAGGCTCAGTGGGTATCCTTGCCTTGATGGGCTGGGCCAGTCTCTGTGAGCCTGGGGGGCTGCCCGGGGGTGGCCTCAGTGGAGACTGAGGAAGAAGCAAGAAGCTTTGGAGGCGTGGGCACCAAGCTCAGGAGAAGCCATGAACTGTGTGTGCCTGTCCTCAGGACCAGCTTCCGAGACTCAGCAGGAGTGCTAGTTTGGGAGATGGAGGGAGGGTCCTTGGCCACACTGTCTTGTGTGAGTGCGTGTGTGTGTGTGTGTGTGTGTGTGTGTGTGTGTTTGTGTGTGTTTTGTCCAAATATAGCCTTTATTAGATCATGTCTACTCAGAGGAAGAGAGGTGTGTGCATGAAAAGGCTGGAGTAAGGGTGGGGATCAGCGTCCATTCCAGTGTGTCCTGGAAAGTTCCCAGCGAGGCCACAGTGGGAACGGTTTGGGGAAACCCTTGCTGGCCCCGCCACCGCCTGGCAAACGGCAAAGTGGCCGGCTGCTTTGTGGCTGCAGTGTCTTGGAGGGTTTGCCAAGCACTTTCCGTGAAGTCACTGGGGCGTTAAGCCCTTTGTTCAATTAAATGGGTTAATGTGCTTTGTCTGATTCTGATGAATACTAATAATATAATGTGATAATGGCGGTAATGGTGCTCTCAGCCCCGATTATCACACGTGCCGCACTGTCCCAGGCACAGAGGGAGGTGCAGCTCACATTCCCGCACACTCAGGCCTCATTTTCCACTCATAAAACCCCATTCTTCAAAGCTTTTCCAGCCCAACTCCCTATATCCATTTTCGGGACAAATTACCAACACTTAAAAAAAATTGGTCCATTTTGCGTAAAAGCCAAGTCCAAATTACTGTTACTTTCCCCTCTAT